AAGGCTCCCAAGAGGAGTCTTCCAGGCCAAGATGACCGGCAAAAGACCTGTCGGTAGACCTCGTACAAGGTGGAGTGATAACGTCGCTCGCCTTTGTCACGAGAGGCTCAGCATCCCTCCAGCTGAGCTTGAGTCAGTTGTCCAGGATCGAGATCATTGGAGGACGCTCCTGGGGATGCTCGAACCGCGACTCCAATAAATTGAATTGAGAAAAGCGGCTAAGAAAATGTATGTAATGTATGTATTCTCGCCATCACATTTAACAATTGAGGTCTAGCGTGTTTTCTAAAACTAGAACCCGAGAGACTAGAACTCCGTAGTCTCAGTTAATGGAGCAAACATTGCGTATGGGTCCCAGGTAACAGTTCTGAAAATCTCTGAACCATTAAGTAAATATTGTAAATGCTCTATTTATGTACCGGCATACCTGCGCCTGAATCCGGTTTAGTTCGTTTTTCTCAAGAAGTAAAATGATATTACCAATTGGAAAATGCAACGAACACCTGCGGATACTAGAGTTGGGAAAGAATGCCAACGCTCACTGAATGTTTTCGGATTTTTCTGGGATATTTTTTTTGGACACTAGGAAAAGATGAGGTATAAGTTTGCGTGGGTATGATGCAAGAGACAAATATAATACTGTATATAAATGCAAATGTTATATCTTTAACCCCTGTTCACCGAGACTTTGCATCTGTTGTTGCAAACATCCAATCCTTCACAAAAACATCAATTCTGATTTCACTCATTGACTGGTGAACTGTTGTTTTCTCTCTGGAACGTTTCAGTGCATTGGGCAGTTGCGGGAAATGCAAGGGGGTGCTTTGCATGATGACCATAGCTGGTATTTTTATAACAACTATCGTCGTGGTTGCCATCACTACTGGCTTCATTCACCATCATTCCCCAGGTAATTTTTTCATGCCATTCCACTCCTTAACCAGAAAATGTCGTGAAAATGCAGCATAAGTACTTTCGTTGGCGCAGTCATTTCTTACCCAAGTAAGACATGAACGTTCTCTAAGAAGTTCAACCGATGTTGAAAGAGGAGGATCCTGTTTTCAACCCTTGTTGGGTTGGGACGGGCAACCTAAAAGTTGTCCGCTTTAGGTACTATAGTTCAGTTAGTTTTTCTCATGTCGATTCATTTTTTCCAAGTGGATAAGGCATCAACAAGGTATCCCGAATCACATCAGTCTCTTTCCGATGGTTCCGAGTCGTCTGGAAAACGTCTGCAAACAGAAATGCGTTTAAAGCACTGGAGATTGCGCACAATAGAATGGATTTGTGGCTATTGGAAGCCATCTTAGTTGGGTCCGTGGTGGCTCTTCTCCATTCACTACAATGGGATTTTCATAATTTATCATCCCAGTGTCTTATTGTTGTGATCATGATGGCAGGCAGTCGTGGTACTGGAGGCTTAATAATTCTGAGGGAGTATCATAGGGCGATAACGTCATGTCGGAACTCTTCTTTCATGCGGGCAAGTCTCTTATTTCTCGAGTGTGCCTCTAAGTTCCAGGCCTGCCTTTGCTGAGATTGCTGGGCCTACGAAGGCGATAACGTTACGCCGCCCTTGCATCATCACAGTCGACATATTTTACAGCAAGTCTGAGGCATTAAGTCAAAGGAACTTCGAGTGAACGTTCAAAGGTAAACATAGGCTAAAGTTCGACGAAGGGCGACCACGAGGTGCATGGTAGAGGTGTTGACGTGTATTGGCAGGGCATGCTTCCGTATTCGGAAGGGCTGCTACAATGTTCCCGCGGTACCTGCTCCATAACACGGCCAATGCGCACCGCAGGCCCGCTTTAGCATGTTCCCAACCAATATAGCTTCAAAATGCTCCCGTTTACACTCTACCACTCCTATAGGCGCGCCATCTCCAGTTCTTTTTCTTACCTCATTGGTTTAAAGCCTAGTCGAGAGAGAGAGAGAGAGAGTGTGTGTGTGTGTGTGTGGGGAGGGGTTGAGCGGCCTTGCATCGTCTAGACCAGGGGTCCGGAACCTATGGCTCATAGAGTAATGGCTGAAAATCATGATTTTTCCTCATTTTTCTCATGTATCAAAGAATGCATTTTTATGTTGCCAACTTCAGGAAGAATTCCGTTGTTCTGAAAATCTTTCGCTCGCAAGCACTTAGCTCAATCTTAATATGGCTCACGTGGCCAAAAAGGTTCCCGACCCCTAATCTAGACGCTTGTCCACTTTTTTTGCCCGTATTTCTTGTCGTGTCGAAGAAGGGCCCCCTCATAAACTCTCGGGGCAAAGCAATGATCTTTGAGGGATTCCCACGCAACCGCGTGAGTGCATGGCATCTTCGCTCTATCACTTTACCTGCCGTCTGTGTTCTTAGCTCTTGCATCTTTCAGATATTCTGTGACCGCTTGCTCCATTCTTTTTTTAAATTACAGTTTCATATATTATTTGTATTTGTATCCGGGTTCGTGTATTGGTGGTGCAACCCGTATCGCCGGTAGATTAAGCTTCTAAGCATATGATATTTCCATAAAAAGTTTGGAGGTTTGATTGCCCGAAAGGCAAACAAATCCCCACACTGTATCTCATACCGAGTAGTTCATTAGTTCTACTGATTTAAGAAGCAGCAATGCATTTTCATAAAGAGAATGATGGTCTCCCGTGTCGCCCTAATTAATAAAGTGGTAATGCAACAGAATAACAATAGAATCGCGTCTATTTTGTCCGCTTTTCGCAAGCTCTCATAAATTCTCGCTCACAGAATAACTTTTACATGTTTCTGTATCTAAATAAGTATTTTTCCCTGAACAACAGGGTTTTGTTCTTTCACTTTTTTTTTAAGGAAGTGAAAGAAACAAATAATTGCCTCAAAAATCAATCTTAAAATAATTTCAACGTGAATTCATTCATGAACTGCCTAACTGAAAGCGCATCCGTTGCAGAGACTTTTGCATCCTTGTTTCGTAACTTTTCTTGAGTGATTAGGATGAAACTGATAAAATGCATGAGTGGCGAAGGCATCATTGTGGTATTTTCTGTCACCTGGCACGTACAGTCGTCAAACGACATGAGTTACATGTAAGAGACGTGTCTTTGCTTTTCTTCATGTTTCTTGGCGTCTTTCCTTCTCTCAATATTCCTAACAGGAATTTTTCATATTTAGGATGAGTTCGTTGGACGTGGAAGGTCAAGGTCATAATGAAACCTACTTCTCCTTCCCCAAACAGAAATGAGATTGCCATCGGAATCGGAGTCTCCGAATTCTACACCACCGCCCTCTACACCACCGGCGGTCACCAAAAGGACCGTGAAGAAGCATCGAGTCTGTCACAGCAAAGCATGCATCCATGTTGGTCCGTTCTTCACTTTCTTCCTCACCTTCAGCTAAGGAAAATATAGCAACTATTCTGAGACAGAATGCAAAGTAGAGAATATCCATAACGTCAGGCGCAGTAACGCCTTGTTTGAATTGGTTTTTTTTTTTTTTTGGGGGGGGGGGGGTGAGAGAACGGGTATCCTTGCTCATTTCCCCCCACAGGAAACTTATTGTCCACCAGGCTATTTTTCAGGGAAAAACTCCAAGGTGAAATTCGGCGGAAACGAAGAATCTCCGCTTGCTTCATGCCGCCTTTATCAGGCTAACTATGATTCCACTCAACTTAAAGCAACAATGTAAAATACTTAGGAAGCAAGGAATTTCCCCACATTGGTAGGAGTGAAAATAGAAAATGGATACTTCAAATGCATTAGAAATTTTCTTTGAGAGTGCAGCGCCGTCCATTCAGGATTCAGGATTCAGGATAGTTAGTGATATCAAGAGGCGATTTCGCCCAAGGGGGGGGGGGGGGCGGGGGGGGGGGGGCGCTCTCGTGACTCTCGTGCTACCGTCACAAGAAGAAAATCGATATTGAGGGACATGCTTTCGGCAGGTTGAGCCGCCCGAATAGCATTTTATGTCCCATTTTAAAAGTATTGCCTTTTCTTTCATGAGTACTCTCAGAGGTGATTCATGGGATTCTCCACCTATGAATTCCATCTTGTCCAGCGAATGACAAGAATGATTGTGTCATCTATCACAGTACAATATTTAATTTCGAAATTAGTGTTTATTAATATGTTTCGAAATTTAAAAGAAATGTAAAAACATTCTTCGGAAGAGAACAAGGTCGGCCGATGAAATCCCCGATAGAATCCTGAATCTAAGTCACCAGAGACCTGGTTCTCATACTCTTTCAATAAAGAGCTTGGGGCTCTGAAGTGGATTCCAAATTCCTATTCTTCCGTGGACGAGGAGACTCAATCATCTTCCTGTCCTCATTTCCTTCCTTCCTATTCTTTATTATCCAGGAATACCTTGTTTCAATAATAATAAAATTTCCTCAAATATAGCGCAACCAACGTCGTTGTGGTTTAATGCTTCGAATGGGTAATTCCGGAATTACATATATGTAAATTTTAGTCTAGTACCTATCATGTTCTTCAGAGAAAACCCCGAGTCACTCATGGTATATAAAGGCATTTTTCTTATCGTCAAATAGATATAAGGTTCTTCCATTCTCGGACATTGTTTATTCAAGTGCCGCAATCAGTAATATTCCTCTTCAATGAAAGCGTACTAGAAAATTGCAGATGCTGCGGTAACCTTGTCAGGTATTCTTTTTTATCCCGTCCGTCTGCAGTATCAACCCAGTCACTTGAATGAATGTGCATGTACGACCTTCTGCATGAATCAGGGTGGCAGTCAATGACGAAAACAGTCAGTTACTTTCCAACCCTCTCAGCTTAAGGATCAATCGTTGACGGAGCAAAAGAGCGGCTGATCGTGGCAACGTGCACAGAATCGCCGGTCAAACTTCGTGGAATGCCATATCCGACACTCTACACGTTTCATTCTCCTCATACCTCCAAGTGGCACGGGCACGCGAACCATTCAGGACTTCTTGTTTTCCGTTTTATTTGTTGGCTTACTATGGACGAATCAAAGATTCCATTGCAATGCGACGTTCAGTAGTACAATTGATATGGCGGTAGGATATATTTCCAGTAGTGTTGTCGCTGGCGGAATGATTGATGAGTTGACTAAAACTATAGTTACATGCTGAAAGCTTTTTCTTCATGTCTTTCAGTGAGATATCGGAGTTTTCTATCGTTTTCATGAAATATTCAGTTGTTGTATTTACACATTCGATTTGGTTCTGTCTCTGCCTAAGTACACCATTCCTTCATCCAGCTCTTCAATGCATTATATGCCCTAAATGTAATTTTACCTTGCATTCAAAAAGATCGCGAGTCATTCTCATACCCTCGTCTCCCTTCTGAAAGAGGAAGCATTAGACGCAGATGTGCGAATATAACTTGCCTCTTGAGTTTGGTAATTTTGGGATAGATCGCCGGGAACCTGAAAATATGGATCCTCTGGGTGATTCAGGGTATGCACCTTTTCCTCTTTTCATGGCTTTTGATATTTTGGGGAAAAGGATAAAGGAAGGTATGACTACTGTCATACATGGAGGAGTGGAAACTTCAATCGAGAAATGCAAGCACTACAGATGTAAAGACTATTGAGAGATCCTAAACAACCCCTGACTGGTGGATTTATTGAGACATAAATTGTATAAGATGTTATTATTTTTCGTCATATGCAGCGAAGGAGGTTCTCGAAAGAATGGACATACAGGTGGATCCATGCAACGATTTCTACCGGTTTGCATGTGGGGGATTCATCGACAACGTAATCCTCCCAGATGTCTACTCTTCCGTGAACCAATTCTCCAAGGTGGGAGAGGTTGTGTGGGAGAGAATCCGGAGCCTCCTTGAAGAACCCATCCGCGAAGGAGATATAGCACCTTTCCGCATGTTGAAGAATTTGTACACTTCTTGCATGAATAGAAGTAAGCTTTTTCCTTCTTCTCTGCCCATTGCCAAGAGAAAGTGTATAAGGTTTATTTATTATCGACAAGAAAGGGTACATATTGGAACTTCAGTGACATGGCTTCCCTAAAGAATAGAAGGGTCTGTCCATGCCAAATGGTTCTAGAATTTTAGCCGAAATATTCCTAAATATGCAAATATTACTCTCGCTACTGAAGTTTATCATCTCTTTTCCCGGAAGACATGGATGAAAGAGAATATTACATGGACAAATGAAAGAATAGTCATGGTTATGATATATATTTCATACCACTCTCATGATACTCAAAAATGTGATGATAATGCTAATTTGGAGAGACTGAATTAGTCTACTGGAACAGATGCCAGCATGCGCTTTTCATGCATACTGATAATTTCAAAGTAGCTCAGGTGTGAAGAGTAGGTGTCTATGATGTTTCAAAATAAATTTTTAGAACTTGTCGCATCCGACATTCTCCTGTCACATATGACACCGCCACAAAATAGGCTTACTTTCTGTTTCAGGTGTTGTCATCTTGGGTGACTTATACTAATTCCAGGCTTTCGTTCAATCTAACAGTTATGTGAACATTAGTGCAAACGAATTAAACTTGAGGTTCACGGAATGTTACGTCTGACACTTTCCTTTGCACATAGGTACGCCTCTAACAAAAGAGAGTGCAAGACTTTGGATTATGGCATTTTCAGTCACCACCTAAAGCAAAATGTTACAGCCTTTTTATGCTGATTCATCTTCCATAATCTAGTTAAATTCCTTTTTGAATACTAAAAATATTACTCTGGTTGTCACATCCGACACCGTGGACAGACACATAAACTACAAATATCAGAATGGCGCAGGAAAAGGGACTTAGTGACCTGTGCGCCCCATGGCGGTCAACCAGGTTATATCACAGTTTCCAAATAAGTTAATTTTGCGGAACATTTACTAAACATATACGAGCATGTCTCCAATTGATTCAATTGAAATACCGTAAATGAATACCCTTCATGAAAGCAATCATTTAAAAATCCACTGATATTTCAGGATAGAAGACCTTCTGCTATCTTCATTGAGATATCTCTAACGGCAGCTTTAGTTCACTTTATATTAATGACACTTGGCACGTTAATTAGGGCGATTTGGGCTGGGCTAAATTTACAGTCCACCGTATCCTCCATTTCCATGGAGGGAAGGGAGTCTAGGTGATGGGATAGGAGCGGAGGGCAAACTAGGGTTATTTCCCTTGAATTGCAGAGAATATTTTAATAGTTCTTTTTCCAGCAGATTTAGTGAACAGTGGAACACGAATATTCCCTTATCTCTTGGTTAAGGCTTTATTTCCTTTGGTTGCTTTGGGAAGGTCAATTTGATTGGTCTGGGGCAAATAATCTTGATGAAAACCTGGATGACTCTGGAGGATGGCCTGAAGATGAAGGACCGGATTGGAGCGAGTCCATTTCCTCATGGAACAGCCTCATCTATAAGCATCGGAACATGGGATTCCCTATTCACTCCTTCATCAACTTCTCTGTGATTCCTGAGAACTCCAGCCACGTTATAAAAGTATGTCCCATTACATGAAATTGCATTTTTTTTTCCTATCTCGCTACTTCAAATTCTCTTCTTACGTTTACATTAAGGAAATATGTATGCCTCAATTAGCGATAATAGGATTGTCTACGCTATCATGTAGCCATTTTCGAAAAGAAATATTGTAGAAAAATATTTTAACTCGGAAGTACTGGCATAGGAGTAAGGAGATTCCTGAACACAAAACACATAATATATTTCACGTGAAATGTTGCGTATTAATCCTTACCAGTTTCAAACTATGGGGCGTCGAAATCAAAATAACTGTTAAACGTTGGAAATAATGACGATGGTTGCTTGACATCCCGACTAGAGACAGGCATGCTCTTCACCTTCAGTAATTTTTTTAAAGATCAATCATAGTTCGAAATCCCAACTGGAATTTTCCACTTGGAACATTGCTTCAATTTCGGACCATTTCCAGCCTGTAATTCTGCTGGAAAGTGATACATATAGGTTGTTTCACAGCTGACATTTTCCAACCAGAATGCTGCTGGTTTTTATGACTCTCTCCAATTGGAAATTTCTTCTAATAGTTAGAATTTCATGCAAAGGACCATCCAGCTGGAATGCAGCTAAATTTACAGTTGAAATTCACCTGCATTCATTGATGGACCTCCGGGAAGAATAGCAGGAAAAAACATTGCTTTCCACCAGTGGTATCGCAACTAGGAACCAATCTGAATCTGAGTTTACTTTCCAGCTGTTGTCCATGTGGAAAGTGCTTGGGTTCACAACTGTGGTCCAGCTGGAAATTAAAGCCTCTCCAACCGGGATTGTAAGCTTGTAAGCTGATATGTCAAATAGAAAATTTATGAATGCTGCAATATTTTTGAAAGACAAAGCTGCTTTCAAGCTGATTCCAGCTTGAACGAGAATGATTCCATTAGTTATTTCCTGCTGGAGTTCAGAAATGGAAGTAGCTGAAATACGAGGGTAAACTGAGGCTTTTTCTAAATCGAGGATCGTGTTTGGCTCCCAATTGATTTCGTAGTTTGAAGGCAGTTCGTAATTGTGACTGCAGGCACCATTCCCGCTGTCAAAAAATGTTGGAAATAGCAGCTACGTAGACGTATCTAGGTTTTATCATCTCTGTTTGTTCTCTTTCAAGGCGTTTAGTACATTATAAAAACGAAAGAAATTATACAGGGTGTCCCACTCGCTTTGGTACCCGAAAAAGCGCGAATAGCCTTTAAACTATTGAACGTATTACAACGAAATTTGAACTGCACGTACCTTACTCTATGACAATCAAAACGATGTCACAACATATGTTAGAAATGTCCGCCGTTTGCATCCAAGCATGCTTGGACACGACGTTCCATGTTTAGGAAGGTGCGTGCTATCATATCCGGATCCACTGCGTCTATTTCTTGCCGGATGTTGGCCTCGAGTTCCGCAAGTAAAGCACATCATTTTGATTGTCATAGAGTAAGGTACGTGAAGTTCAAATTTCGTTTTAATACGTTCAATAGTTTAAAAGTTATTTGCCCTTTTTCGGGTACCAAAGCGAGTGGGACACCCTGTACTTTTGGAATATGCAATTTTGCTTATGTTATTTCAGAAGGAATTTCGTCCATATAAAAATGTGTGAGTTCGTGAAGAGTCCAAGTATTTAACTAACCTAGTTGGACTTACACAGGTTTCTCTCTCAGATGGACATCCCTGTTCACGACCGCATGGGAAGCTCTTTATGCAAGATAACAGCTGCGCTTCGAAAGAGCCCTTTTTGCTTTGTTTATTTGTTGGGTCAACGGGGAAGAAAAGTTATTACAATGCTTTGGCAGGCTCTGGGCTAGAACTTAAAGAGAACTCCCGATATCTCTGTTTATATCTCAATAGCTTTCCTAGAATGCGTAAGGGACTGGATCGTCATGATCTCTCCTACTTTATTCGCACAAGCTACTCACTTCAACCCTCTTCATGTGGAATCCGAAAAAAGGGTTATAAAGGGTACAGCATAACACAGAATCGGTCCAGCAATTTTGAAGCTTCATCTCCCTGGGTTGTGGAAAACACTGAATCTCGCTTTTTGAAGATGTGATTTTTGAACTTCATTCCGGTATCTCCCCCCGGGTAGTCACTCATGGGGAATTTTTCGCAGGAAAGAGACCAATCAAACGAAATATATTTACTTGTAGGAGACGAAAAGTGCCCTTTTGTTTTTTGCAGTTCACCAATTCTCCGTGAAAAATGAAATTAGTTGTCGTTCTTTCAGGCTTAGTGTGATGGTTCCGGTCCCTTGTTCCTGTATTGCCGGATATCGTGCCAGAGTTTGTCAGATTCATGACTGCTTCGGCCTTCATATCGGTGTCTGGAACTTCCGTTTTTTCGTGTATGAGACAATTTTGTGCCGGTTTCATGAGATGAGCTGAGATTGAGACGGTGGTTAGCTGTGGCCGATCTATTTGGTGGGTTGTGGAGATATCTCATTCGGACATCCCTAAATTAACAGGATTGCGGCCAGGTTGTATGCCATGCTTCCTAGAGACAATCTCTCCCAAGAACTAGTCGGCATGGTTCGAGAAACTCTAGATAGACCTATCGTCCCAAGTCCTCACTGAAATGATTCATGAAACTCGAAACAGGCCTCTAATCGGTCCAACATTGCACGTTCTCCCTGAAATGGGTCGCGAGAGACTGAATAGGCCGCTGATTGGCCTCTCGTTACTCGTCCTGAACGAGATGTCTCGAAGCCTAGAGATTAAACCTTGTGTGCCTAATTGGCCCCGTTAGTCGAGGATTGAGTTTCTTTTGAACGAAGAAAGTTAGCCTTCCCCTTGGTTACCTTCCCGTCGGTTAAGCCTAGGCCAAACATTACTTAGTTCCGTAGAGAAGGGAAACTTAGTGGGGTGAGATTGGGGTTGAGGTTGAAGAAATGGAAATCTTTTGAAAAATGGCTTTCGCAATTTTTCATATTCGTTCATTGGTTGTTCAATGTCGGTTGGTCAATATAAGCGAAAAATGCACCTATTCTGTGCGTGCCCCTGCGCATGCCACAGTTTGCAGGGGTACAAATGCCTATCCTGGGACCTCGTAGCTACCCTGATTGTTCAGCTAATAAGGGGAGCATAGGAAAAACGGTCTCACAGATTGTGCGAGGTATGTTGAAAACGAGAATGAAGCACAGTTTCGACCTCGTTATGCCTTTCTGGACATTTCATTCCCCCATGAACCACGAAGGGGAAGCAAGTCATTCCCTGCCTCCCTGTTCTCTAGGATAAATACAGAGTAGCTTAGAGAATTTCAGATAGGGAATTTGTATTGGGATTGGAGGTAAATGCATCTTGCTCCGATCCCTTGTTTACCAATATCGCTATTGCACATTTTTCCATTCATATCGAATTTAATATCTTTCTTTTTCTTTTTCAATTTATTTTACGTCTGTAAACACTTGCTTCATCACCATTCAAATGATTTTTGCAATTCACATTTTTCTCCGCACTACTTTCCAATGGGATCAAATCATTAGCTTCGTACATGAGCATATACTTTTGCTTTGGGTCAGATCGATCGGCCAGCGCTGAGTCTTCCGAGGAAAGCCTTCATGAACGGCTTTGACGATGAGGATGTCCAAGTCTACTATGAAGACATGGTAAAATGGGCCAATCTTCTTGGCGCCGATCCTGAACGTGCACGGCAAGAACTCAAGGAGACTGTGGAGTTTGAAATCTTCCTTTATAATGTAATTTTATATTTCCCATTCATCCCCAAACCCCATCCTCCAACGTCATCCTTTTCGTATTTATTTTTGGAATATTATGTTCTAGATGGCATTTGCCTTGACGATCCCCAATTTCAAGGTACTATTACGTTGTGGTAGTCTTTTCGCATTCCCGAATGCAAAACGACTATCTCGAATGTAGAGTGAGTTTCCCATTAAAGTCACGAATAATCGATTGAAAGACACAAGAATTAGCTAAGTCATTTACTCAACTACATGTACCGTACAATCAGGATCTCCGCAAAATAAGTTGGGAATAGTTTATTTTCCTCTTCCATCGCAGAACTCGCTTCCAGACGAGGACCGACGTAACGAGACGGAACTGGATAAGAAGATGACGATCAGTGAATTGGAGAATAGATGGCCAATCATTCCCTGGTTCCGGTATATCGATGAGATGCTGTCGCCCTTTCATAATGTAACACCCGAGGAACCTGTCATCATTGCCATCCCTTCATATATTGACCAACTCTCCAGCGCTCTCAAGGTCACACCTAAGAGGTAGCTCGAAACCTCGAATGTTTAGTTTCTACCGGAATAGGTCAATTGCATTGGAATTGATGCATTTTATTTGTCTCTTGCCATTATTGCAATGAACATTTCGATGAATAATTTTCTGTGGATGAAATACAATTACAGGATGTCCCAGAAAAATGTATCCACACTTCTAGCATACAGTCTGTCAGCATTGAGTATTGTTTGATCGGAAAGCCAACTGATTATTTACGCTGCATACTAGTGTAGGTATTCAAAATGTTCGCCAACGGCAGTCAGGCAGGTATTGCCGGTGTGAATAATGCGGTGCAGCTGACGTGTATTTGCACGTATTTTCGCTGGAATGGTGGTGGAAGCATAATTGATGCTTTGCTGGCATTGTTGGAGCGTCACTAGTTTTGGGCACCACCTTCAGGATACCCCTTACGTGGAAATCTGGGGGTGTTCAATCTAGATATTGTGGTGGGTACTCCACAGTCCATGTTGTTCTGGGCAACCCTCCTCCCCCCACCCCACCCCCCCAGGAGATTGAATGGTGTCTTCATGCTCAAATTGGTCTCTCAATCGGGAAATTTTGGCGCGTATTGCGGGTGTCGTTCCATACACGCTGCATCTCGTTAATTTCACAAATCTCCAGTGCCTCCTCAGTATCTGCTTGTGCTGATGAAATGGCAGGCACACCTGCACCATTATGGCCACACAATGAGAGCAAGTGAGGTGCACGATTTAGTGAAGTATTGCACGGAAGTCTCAGTTGGTCTTTCTGATGAAACGATACTCGATGATGGACTAGATGTCATTGTATGCTAGAATATTGAGGTAAACATATTTCGGGAAACTGAATTTATTTTCCCCTCACACCCAAAGTGAAATTTGCATCTGTGCATTTTTCCACAGCAGTTACAAAAAGTTTAGCACTAAGAATGCACACAAAATTGTAGTAAAGCAGGTGTTGACCCCACTAAGGGCATGCTGATTTCATAAGAAATTCCTCATAAGTAATCCGGAATGTCTATGTGAAGAGAATAGAGTCTTACGGATGGAAATGCGAGTGAAGTGCGAAAGTGTTGGGCATTTTATGTGCGATAGGGTGTTGGCGAATTATGCAATTGGAAGGGCCGTTGCATTATCTGTGACCTTCATTACCAGAGATGCTCAAAGGATGAAGACAAAAACCTCAAAACTCGGTGGACAAGTGGCAGCGCAATTCCTGTGGAATCAATGTCTTGTCGACCTCTCCAAGTATGCACACCTCGATTATTTCCTATCTTTTATCTATGAGTCCTGAGATGGCCTTGACAGACTGCTGTTATTTGTGAAAGAGTCGCTGGTTTTTTCCCCTCCACCCGTATCGGCTTCACTTCTGCCCCTCACCCTGAAATGACAACGTGGAGAAGTTTGATGGAATATTCCCATATGATGGAGTTTTTTCTGTAGGCTTGCTGATGTGCTGGCAGCTATGTACGTGAGGTCGTTCTTCACGGAAGGCGTCAGGAATGATGTAATTGAGATGGTAGGCAATATTCACGCTGAATTTGATGTCATCTTGGATGAGGCAGACTGGATGGATGATACCACCAGGTCTCACTCTTTCCAACTTCCTTGCAGCACGCTCATCTGAGAAAGTAAATATATAATGTAAATTAATTTTGGCGATCTTTTTTCCAATTTCGTCAGGAGTCGAGCGAAGCTGAAAAGTTCCCTGATTAAACCAATTGTCGGTTATCCCGAGGAGCTGATGGATGACGACATACTCACCGAGCGCTATGACGGCGTAAGTTCATTCCTTCGAACTTAAAGGGTAGTGCATAAACACCTCCCAGATTTGCCTTTCAATTTTCAAATACATTTCCCTGAGATGTGCCATCTTTAATTAATTACATCATTATTGAGATTATTCAGCAATGAGGCGTTGATCGGTGAAGAAAGTGTAGCTCTTTATTCAAACTAGGTCACTTGTGACAACCAATGGGCATTCAAACGTGAACTTGACCGGCCACTACGCCCATCGCGATGTTACTGCGTGTCTTGGACAATATAGTTGACCGTTCACGAGAACGTGTCGAGAGTGATAACGGTCACCTTAAAGACGTCGTCCTCCACAAGTGACCTGTTGGTGCGACCATCTTCTAATATCCAAATTCCGAAGCTACCGTTGGAATGTACGAGGGGTGATCCGAAAGTTTCTGCCTTAGATATAAAGGAATGTGACAGACTATTTAAACAAATTTTACATTTCAGCATTACCCCCCTGGACATGAATGCTAGTCCGATTGTTGGAAAAGTGCCTGAAATTTATTGGGAAAAAGTGATTTTCCACCGTCAATTAAAAATGCTGAAATGGTTTCACCGAAGAGACACAATTGTCAATTTCACCTTCATGGACGCTTTACAGGAAGTTTTGCTTTAATTTTTATTATTATTGAATGAGCTGTTTCATCGGGATGATTACATTTATATCATTAGAATAGTTTTAATACTAAATACAAATTTAAAATTTCTCCGAATTCAAAATTCTACAATTTGAAACTGATATTTTCAGTGACCAGAAAATGTCTTATATGCAAATTATTATTTAAAATATCAATGCACCTAAGACCGATTGCTGGCCCTTCAAATTACTGAAAAGGATGAATGAATATGGGAACCAACATTTATGCTTTCTCTGATCATTCCTACTATCTCAGGGCAGAAACTTTTGAATCGTCCCTCGGATATCCGTGTGAAGTCGTGTTCCCTGAGTCTTTAACAGTATTTTCACTTTAACCATGGAGGTCTTCATGTACCACCCTGTACGTCAAGTTCACTCCAGATCCACCTACATGTTCTTTTTATGATTATCATGATTAGAATGCACATCTCCTCCCATAACTCCTAACATGTCAGTCCTAATATGCACGGTTCATTTTATTTCTCACAATTGTATGAATGTCGAAATTGGCTTTCCCAAAGGTAATTGCTTATTTTACGTCCAAGGATCTCGACAAAAAGAGCTAACGTTACATCGTAGGTCAGGCATACGCACTGGATACATGCGATCTCTATACATTTTCGCTCGTGTGTACTTACGCAAGTTTGTGATATGGCGCACTAGCGCAACTTCGCCATTGCATTACGAAAATTTCCACCGTGCGCAGGACTTTGATGTTAGGCTCAAGTGACTCATGAACCCCTGAATATGCTTCTGTTCTACTGCTGTACCTTAACTAATCCCTCCATCCCATCAAAGCCTCACCCTCTTCCACTCATTACTGCTAAATTCACCTTTTAACTTCGGGAAACTCAAATGGACAATAATGGTTATTCTCGGGATACACTACTATGCTTCGGCACTCACCGATGACGTTCCTTGTTCGTGTTAAAAAAATTTTCTTGCCGAGGCTCTTAATTCCCTTCATCATCCTCACCTATGCCACGAAGTCCAGTTTTTCATTTCATGAACGTATTGCGTCTCGAATGACAACTGTCGGTTAACAGTCGACTGTTGTTCCAAGTTCAAAGCAATGAAGCGGTTGCCCGAGATAGAAATATAAACACTGTTTACTAGGAACTTGCCTTTTTCATGAAACTATGTTCGCTTTTTTGTGGCGTCTGAATGTTGGGTTACATGCTTCTTCAAATTCTTTCAGTGACTCATCTAATGAGCTGGAGTATCATTTGGAGTATTTTCTTCGCTTGATAGTTATGATACTTTTTCGAATGTGTACCAAACATGTAGTACAGAAATATAAAATATGCAATTCATGAACCTGGAAATCAAATGCTTGGAGCTCCGGGCAAAGATGATGTATCATCGTGAAAGACTTGCTCTCAATATTTAAGTTATGCATCAATAATTTCGGACACACTTTGTCCGAGACGAGATGATTCAAGAAATTTAAGATTTACCTTACGTTACACGTTATTCCCGAGACCTCTCGAAAGCCCTAATATTTACCCCCATAGGCATAATTAACCCCGTAAATCGGGGGCTCAGATTCTGTTGGGCAAAATAACGGAAGGACCCGAGCCAAAAACAGTCCGTAGGGTAGGTCTGTGCCCGACGTTAGTGATTCTCCCGTAAGTGCTACTACCCCGAATGAGAGGCAATTAGTGTAAACACCTCAGTATTTGGCCACTTAAGCCCCAGTTTTTGGCCATGCTGACATGGCTCCCATTGGAAGTGGAAACCCTGTGGGCACACCGGGAAGGTGTGATAGGTCCTCGTAGGGGAAGATGTTCATAGAATGCTTGAAAACGGCCAGATTGCCTAATTATGCTGGATTTAAGCCTCAATGGCCAACAACTGGAAACCGGCCATAAACCAGGGTGCCTACGTAATACATTTAAAAAACGCTTGATTATGATGCAACAGAAGGAGACACCCTGGTATTATTAATAGTCAGTAGTACAGTGTATATTGGATTTGTGCCCGGGCTGGAACTCTGTTTATTTTATTTTCCTTATTGTACCCGATCGTATATGCTTTAAACGTACTTGTAATAATCATCAATTTATCATCATCTAGCGTATTTGGATATTACATTCATTCATCCATGTATCCATTCTACTTCCCTTTCTTTGGGTTCCATAGTTACACTTGGTGTCGGATCACTATGACCAGAACATCCGGAACCTGAACTGGTTTTTGGTGGAGAACTATTTACGTCTCCTCAAGGAAGAAAGGTATGAAAGCCTTGATGTCCTTGACGCCAATGCCTACTACTCCGCTGATCATAACACAATCAGTACGACAACAACCCTGGCATTCCATTCAGTACCTCATCTGTTCTGAGAGAGCCTTAGGTTATTATCTGCTGTCTTTTACCTCATAGTTATTCCAGCGGCGATCCTACAGGGTGCCTTTTATGGAGCAGATCGACCCCAATATCTGAATTATGGAGCGATCGGCTCCATCATTGGCCATGAAATCACCCACGCATTTGATAAGACGGTAAATCACACGCTCATATTTGTCTTATTTCTCTTCTTCATTTCTCTCCCATTCTGACTTCCTGCCTTTTTTGATACCTCTGGTCATTCCATCTCAAATCAGCCAGAGGCCGGAGCATGACCCCCTCCGATTTTGACGAAATTTTTGAAATTGCTTTTATCTTTTTTAAAATGAATGGCATTTGAATGGCAATGAATGGCAATGAAAGGAACATTTTCCAAAATGTTCCTTTATTGTGCTGTATAGGAAATGACACCATCCATCACTGGATCCAGTCAAAAAGCACAGCTCACAGTCTCTCGCACTCCCTCTGAGGCACCATTCAGAGACGTGTATTAAGCAGGAAGGGACATCGGCATTCCGGTCAGAGATATGAATACATTCGCATTGGTAAGAAAAAAAATCACGAATAAACACATTTTAAACTCTGCAAATGTTTTGAATGACCTGTGATGTCCATGAACCCCTTTGCTTTTTCCTTTGAATTATGAAAAAAAGGAACTGGTAATGAAAACTATGCTTTTTGGCCTAAAAAAAACCAACGTAAATAGTAAGGTAGGGTCTGAATAAAAAGTTGCGGTATGCATTTATAAAAAAAAGACCTTTGAAATTACTCTCATCTTTTCCTCAAGTTAATGGCAGACATACTGCAAATGTTTCAAGTTTGTTGAGATGCATAGAAATGACATCATTCAATTGAAAATAGTGTTTTCTTGCGAAATTTGCTATTTTTGCATATTTCGAGCCATCATATCTCCTTAAGTAGAATGTGTTGGGACAAAAATGGGACACACATCAGTAGATCTTCCGCTGATTCGAAAAACACACATGATGATTGAGTGTGATGAAAATTTTGACCCAATGCAAATTTCTGAAAATGCCAAAAATTGGCAAATTTGACAGCTTTATTTCATTCAGTATCGCCTGGTGAGAAAAAAATATAGAATAACTTCGAAAGTATAACCTTTTTAAAGAACAATGTTGTTTTCTACGTTCGTTTGGGTCGAAAAGTTTTCGGCCCACATGAACATGAAGAAGTGGCCCTTTTTGAAATTTTACAAAATTTAACGAATTGTTATGCCAAAACGGCTACATACTCGAAGCTAAAATTTTGGATTATTACTTTGGGCCATGAAGGGTACCAAATGAAAAAATATCGTCAAAATCGGAGGGGATCATGCTCCGGCCTCTGGCTGATTTGAGATGGAATGACCCCTCTGTTTCGTACAGGACCATAATTATGACGGGGAAGGGGACCAGACGGACTGGTGGGAGCCGGAAACAGAAGAAAAGTTCTTGGAAAAAACACAGTGTATGATCGACCAGTATTCCAATTACAAAGTGTCTGAAGTTGATCTGGCCGTGAGTGTTTCGGGCTTCATTTGTTCAGTTATTTTTAGTATCGAATCTCAAGTATCCATGCGCGGGTGGTCCTGAGTGGTGTCCAAAGCCAAATTACTGCAAGCATGTTCATTTTAGGGCAGTTACAGAGTATTCGGGAGAAAAGTGAAGAAAAAAAACTGATTTACCAAACTGTTGATTTACTAACTTACGCTTCGTGCACTGTATGGGTAGTGAACTTGGATCAAATCAGCTTTATCAAGCATTCATTTCCTGGAGCAGGATGGTTTTTATTATTCCTGAAGCATTCCTTTTGGAATAAACCTAACACTTGCTTGGTGAATATCGCTTTTTGACTAATGTCGTCGGCAACGCTGGAAAACAATCCCAGCCAATTCATTTTTGAGCAAAAAAAAGCATTTGGAATGGAGAAAGCATGAGCTTTCTTTTCTGTAAATACGGAAGCTCTAGGTGAAGCCATATCAGAAAAAATTGGCAACAGAACTAAAACTGTGGACCCATTCAGCAGACCTTTTAGTGGCACATTGGAAAAAAATCATAGAAATTATAAAATTATGTCAGTCACCATCAAAGGCATCTGTTTTCTCATGAAAGTAAAAAAGGTGCAATGCAACCGGAAATGCCTCAGGCTTAGAACATTCTGATAACCCCAAATATAAGTGCAATAACGAGCAAGGATTAACGGCAGTATAGCTTAAGAACATTTATTCTGTTTTGACACATTTAAAAAGTAACAGCAGAATTCTTCAAATAAAGCCGAAAATAGAAATTATCCACTTTAAATGATGCACAGGGGATTTGGAAATCGTTAGAAATCTGGTTGAGGTGACTAGGACGATACAATTCGTAGTTGCCCCTCATATTGACCGAATTGTTATAACATTTCCAAACATGTTGGAATGTCGGCCTCATGCACTGAAAATATTATATTCGGTGAAGGGTTCTGGATTGTCATTGAAGGATATCCTCCTAAAACGTTTATGTGATTGATTGGGTAATAATTTATATAGCTAACCTCTAATAACAAACTTGATTAATGAGGAAAAACTGTTGCCTCCTCTGCATCAAGCTCCTTCAGTCAAGCTAATTCAGATTCTTGAAATGCATCAGATAAAACTGGCGAAAATGACGATTGAGAATGTGGCGATTTTCAGGTGAACGGAAATGCAACTCTAGACGAGAACATAGCTAGCAATGGAGGCTTCAAGGTGGCATATCGGGCATACGTGAAATGGAACGAGAGAAACGGAGAAGAAAAGTCTCTTCCCGGCTTAGAGGTAATTACCCTCTGCATCATATATTTATTTCATAAAATCGCATAATCCGAAATGGGACACCACAGATACATGAACCCTCATGTTGATGCATTGCTGCAGCGCCTAACCTCCAGACAGATGTTCTGGATATCGGCAGCGCAAGCTTTTTGCTCAAAGGACGGAAACGAGGCGATGAGAGAGCTCATGAACCTATTCAAGGACCAACACGCTCCAATGGAATTCCAGATTCGCGGGGGATTTCAAAACATGCCCGAATTCGCCAGAGATTTCAAGTGCGCCCTCGGAACTCCTTACAATCCGGAAGAACGATGTACCGTTTGGTGAATAAAAACCCGTCTGTTTCCATTCCAATCCTTCCTTTTCATCTTTTGTTTCCTTTCCACGAAATGCCAGTGGTTATGCTCATTTCACAGTTCCTATGACCTCCAATACTGGTAACATGTCCATGGATTTTTTACCTGAAAATCACTGTTAATTTAAGAGCATTCATGAAGAGTTACCTTCGTAAACTCAAAAGTTTATTTTCGCTCAACCCGGTCAATTGACATGACTATATTTTGAGGAACTGATAATGCATGCCATCGCAATGTATTCGTGCCAGATTTCGTTATCGCGTTCAAAGCAGCTCATTTGCTTACTTTGCAAGTAGAATTTTGCATTTTACTTGAAAGAAGGAACTGATACTAGGAAACTGCAAAATTTCCTTCACAAAATACAATGTGAAGTGTGAACCATTACTCGTTTGACCTTGCTTTTTCAACTTGACGCCGTCAAAATCTCGAACTCGAGAGAAAGCCACATATAGCAGGCCATGCTGAACATGGGCTTTGTTAGGAAAATCCCTAATCTTTCGAAGGCCTGACCAATGACCTTGCCTTTTTGACGGTCATACCAAAAGACAGCGGAATCGGGAACTGGCGGCGCTTCAGAGTGAAGGGTAGGTTCGTGTCGGAAGGAGTCAGATGAATCTTTGATGAAAACTCGTTCCCCCTTCGCACCTCAAGTCAATGCTTCGACATCCATGTTATTCATGAAGGGAAGGACGATTAAACACTTTCGGCGCATAGCCGTTATTTTGTGTTGAGGTTGCAAAGGAGCATGATAACCGTACCAGGCATGAGTTTCAACGCATAAGGTGCCATTACGGATGGGGTCAGGCAGTTGAGAAACTTCACTTGATAATTGCTTTGTTCCTTGAGATGATCACATACGACCGAGTCGATACCGATTCCACTGTATTGGGTTCCCCTTGCTACTTGTGTTAGAAATGTCTAGATTCAAGTGCCTCTTCTTTCTTGGGGCAAAGGTTGGCCTTATTTTATATTGAATCAAGGTGTTCAGGAGCGATAGTTTTGCCATAAACATAGTCATGATGTTGTCATTAACCTCGCATTGCTGAGGTAGCATAACCGCATAATTGGAGATCTCATTCAAAATCTGGAGGCGGCCTTCTTCGAGAGACAACAACTATTCGGAGAACTCTTTCTGCCCCCGTTCCGCCTTCCTGTTTTCTGATGGTACCCTAAGTAGTGCCCTAAGGGAACTTCATTTCAGGATGGCGTTAGCAACATTGTTTCAAATGTTGCTTCTTTGGAAAAGAAAGAACTTTGGCCCGATGAATGAATTCTTCATCATGACTATGCGTTAGCTCACAGTGCGCTTTCAGTGAAACATTTTTTTGACACAAAAAAGTATCACCCAGCTCGATCACCCACCTTATTACCCGGACCAGGTTCAGAATGACTTCTGGCTCTTTCCAAAACTGAAAGACGTCTCGAAAGGACAAAGATTTGCCAGCATTGAGGACATTCAAGAAAATGTGACGCAGACTCTGAGGGTGATTCCTAAAGAAGAGTTCCACATATGTTTTAAACATTGTTGGCTCGAGTTAGCTTCCCAAGATGACTATTTTGAAGGGGACAAAGCTTATTAAGATCAGTGCAAGAATGTTTCTGATAAAAGCAGTCTCATTCCTTTCTGGCCACACCTCGTATGTTTTGGATCTCGGCAGCGGTTGAGCATCGATCAAATTGCACGAACGGCGCCTTGAAACGCCTCATTTCGAATGGTGCACACGGGGCGCGTATGAAGCCCGCGTCTGGGGGTCTTCCAGGAACACCCCGGAATTCGCTCATCATTTTCATGTTCTCCGTCAGGCCTTCTTACAATCCAAGAGAAAAGTGTACAGCATGGTGACGGAGGACATCTGTAATTCCTCTGTTCCGATAGAGTGGAAGTACCCACGAGACCCAATTCTCCTTGAGAGGCACTACTTGGAAAATAAACTTCTAATATCTTCGAGGAATCATCTTGGTCCCAATATAGTCCACATATGGATGTGGAAAAATTGTTCGTATTTGTCAAATTTTTCCTTGATCAAGTGACTGGAGAAAAATAATATGAGAAAGAGCTCACCATTTAAAAAAAATTTAAGCAATTAGAAACAAGAAACATGATCTCAAAGGATTTTTAAATGGTACTGTTTTAAATTATGTTTGCAAATTTGCGACCCGGAGAATCTTACCTGCGGAGCTTTTGAGGTTATATTTATGAGATGAGAGCAGCAAACCTGATGTTCTTTATGGTATGGCCATTTCATGATGAGACTTCCAAGATCACGCAAGAACAACCCGGATTGTTCGGCAATTCATAAGAAGGAAAAACATTATCATTTACCGATGCAATTTGAGCATGGGAGATCGTATGTTCTTGCCACCTACGCACGCAAAAGGTGATTGGACTAAGTAATGAAATCAAAACTTTTTTTTATCGGTTAGGCCGCACTCAAGTTTCGGACTTCAACGGAACCGCATTATACGGACATATAATGTGGCAGTAAGCCGAAAAACGAATCTGTAGAGAATATCTGGAAAAGTCTGGATACGGCAGGTTTGCTCTAAAACTCGTTCGATGTCAAGTCAAACGTTTCGCGGAATAATTTGGTAAGATTAAGGAAATGGTAGTAATTGCACGCGCTTCGCGAGAAATCTGACATTGAACCATTTTTCGTTCCCTCCTTGAATGCTTGCGAGTACGGTCAAGTGTCTCGGATGAACGCTCGGTCGGAGCCGGTTAGTATCGTTTGACTCAGTAAACCACTCGAAAATTTTCTGTCCATGCTTTTATATAGGTTGACCTGGAAACGGAAGTTGCTGTTGCCTAATCTTTTTTTCAATGCCTGTTAAAATGTCATGCACTTGCAACTGCCATTTCCTGAATTAAAGCGATTTTTTCCCGTGACGGTAAACATTCTGCCCGAACATGCATGCGAAGCCGCTGTTAGGAACGAATCCACATTTCATTTTTGCTCGAAAGAGTTCTCCCTGTGGATGGATTCTCGTGAAAACTCAACGTATTTCTCACCATCTGAAAATAGCATGCATACCCTTGGATTTTCAAGAGTCTCAGAGCTGAAGAAAACGGCTGTAGCATGTATGCTCACTTCGAAATTCGAACATGCTGTATCATTAAAATTTGGCCAAAAAGAAAAAACCGGCATGACCCATGAATTTTAACGAAAAGCGCATTCAATTACCTTCAGCTTGATTTTAATAATAGCATTCCGGGAACTTCTGACTGGACCACGTATATATACGAACGTGGCTGAGTGAGTGTGAGTGAATCACTAAGAGAGTAACTGACGCTAAATCTATCTGATATCTTCTGCATCGGGTTCAAAACTAAAACTCGGTACACAAGTACCAGTAGCGATCGGGTTGTTCACATTTGAAATCCATTCTTCTGACCTCGAGTGAAGGTTTATTCAAAAAGTTCTGCACGAATCAGATGCATCCAGACTTTCCTAGAGATGATCTTCATGGCTTACAACAACATTATATGTTCGCCTCATGTGACTTCGTGGAAGCCCGAAACTGGTGAATCCAAAATGAAAACATCCACGTTTTGGATGAAAATATTTGAATGTGTATTCGAAGTTACATTTACGTTACATTCGAAGTTACGACAAGTCAAAGGTAAACGATTTCAACCTCCTCCCGCTGAAATCGATGATAGACGCACATAATTAAATATACAAAAGGAGCTTGAAAGTGTTACGATGCTTTCGTCTCTCTATTTCCATGTATTGTATTAATCAGAACAAAACCTACAGACACATGGGTGATGACGACGAGATCAGAAATATGAACTTTTCAGCAATATTCTCTCACTCTACATCAAAAAGCACTTAATCAAGGAAGTTGAAATTTAGCGTTTTATTTTCTCAACGGGCCCTACATTCAAAGATTTTCACCGTGCTGGCCATGATTTGCTTCTTACCTCACTCTGCAGATATGGAATCGACCACCCCTGGTTCACAAGCTACCTTGACGGAAGAAAACAACTTGTGGACAACTTGTTACATCACACCAATGACCTTGTCACCTTTCTCAGCGATGGAGGGATAATGCAATTGGTGAATGACGCCCTGACCCTCATATCAGCGCCTCAATCAAATCTTGACAGCCTTAAGTAAAGAATGGAAATGATTATGAGGGAACCTACGAAAATACCATAAATCGAATCAACCGAAACTAAACTCACGCGAGACGCAATGCCTCCTCTTAGAATCAGCTTCAAGACTCCCCAAGATCACATCAATTCAATTCCAATTTGATCTGATGATCATTTCCCCCCCAAAAAAACTTACGGTGATTCTCCACTGCTGGTGAAAGTGGAAACTACATGTTGGTAATACATCTAGTAGCTTAAAGATGCAATTACTGTATCATGATGGCACCAAGCAAAATATTGATCTCATACACATATGGCATATGAGTATGAGATCAATATCGGAATCTGTATGATGCTCGACGATACCTAAATTCACCATCAATCACATTATTGTCCCAAAAAGACTACTGAATAGAATAGCAGAGAAATAGCAGAGAAGAAAATTCGTCAGTCCGTCGAGAAATCCGACTGGGAGGCCAATATGGGTTTTCTTTTGCGCTGCTAACCATGTTCGACCCCCTGATGAATTCACTCAGTGAAAAGTCCAGGAAAGACATTCATATTCTCGGATTATGGGAGAGCAGGGAAACAATGACACGACGTACGTCGGTAGACTATAGCCCAAGGGCATGACTCACTTCCCCAAGCTTCCCCTTCCACCTAACCGGGTTCCATTTCTTATTTGTCACGAGGTCGAACATATTTCGCAGCCTCGATCGAAGCTTGCCAGTCTAACAGGAAGGCAAAGATTTCACTAATTTGTCAAATTTTTATTCACTGGAAATGCCCAGCCGTCTGACATCCACGTGGGGCAGTGAATGGAACGCACGAACTAAAGCCGACTCAGAGGCATTGAGGGTGGCTATGGCATAGGCGCAAAAAATC